TTGCAGTATTTCTATATGTCTTATACAAATTAGCACGAATGTCAATTGCTAATTTGCATTTTCCCTTCATATCTATAGAATGCAAACATAAATTACACATTATCAAGCTTTATCCAAGTACATCCGGCCCTCTACGATCTCAATTAACCTAGCTCTTCCACAATGCAGTTAGTAAATACTTAAATGTATTAATGTTATCTTCATGTTAGTAATTAATTAGATTCCACACAAGTCATTAACTCCGGAGATAAATATGAAAATTTTAAATAAATTTTTTACAAGTACATGAATATACATACATGTACATGAAAGACAAGTTCACCTTTGCTAACATTGTTATTAACTTACTGTTGTTACTGTATGTTTTAGTGCAATAAAGAATATATATATATATATATATATATATATATATATATATATATATATATATATTTTTTTTTTTCGAGATTACTTACTATTCAAATTTTCTTTTTGTATCTTATTAAATTCCATTCATGTCAGTTAAGTTCACCTCTTCATTTTAAAATTCAGTTCAAATATTTCTCGCAATCTTGTGAATTCAATTGAATTTATCTTCTTTCCCATTTTATGAAACGCAATTGAATTTAATCTAATAAAAAATTATGAACTTGGAAATAAATTTATAGGTACATATGCCATTTTAAGTATCTTTAAGGAGAATAAAGTTGCATTTAATTGTAATAAATTAGTTCTTATACAAAATAAAGTAAATGCTAGATATAAAATTACTCATTTGAAATTCAACACATTTTTTTATTTAATCTTTGTTACTATAACTAAATGATAATATTTTTTATGTTTCAGGTACAAGTACGTCTTCTTGACAATAATTTGCATATTAAATACAATTGTCAGCGAAAAACTAGTAAAAGATAATAAAGTAACTTCTGACAAACACAATAACTGTCCGTTTTCGAAAATAATCGAGGATATATTTAAGATACATAACAAAACTTCAGATGCAGGCATTTATATTCAAGATAGTGAACGAGCTAAGTTATTTATTAGTACTATAGCTAATGTAACAGCAAACGAAAACACAAATGGTACAGATCAAGAAACTCTAATTGATAGTATTATTGCATCAATAAATAGAATAAAAAATAATATTACGTCTGCAAATGATACCAAACTGAATCAGGCTATTATTCTAAATATTTCCGATTATGATAAAAATATCAACAGAACATCTACGGAAAAGCCAGTTAAAAGTGTCACGCAAATAAAAAGTGGTATAGAGGACAAATTTGATGTTATGTCACTAAAAAATATATCAAAACACGTCAATGTGACGAATACGAGCAACGAAGCTGATCCAATTACGGAAAAAGTAAATTACGTAGAAATTTTAACTATAGAACCCAACAATACGAATACACACAATACGTCTACTCATAACATTATTGAAGTCCTTAAACATTTGATGCCTATGTTTAATAGTACATTAACAAAAGAATTACACAACATCACCATTATAGAAAGGAACCATAACAAAAATCATTCATTTATGGCAACAAAAAATGTATCTACTATCGTTGTGACTTATTGTGATAAAGAAAACTTAACCAGAGCTAATATAACTGATAATAAATTTTATGATGGATTGGAAACTGATTTGAAACTACCTCTGGATGATGATGAAGATTACTATTTAGAAGATAATTTAGAAGAAGAGAGCAGCGACGAAGAAGATGAATTTGAGAACCCAATTAATGGAACAGACGCAGTAAAAAAAGATATATTGGAAGCTGCAGAGTATGGAATGCAGAAGATGCATGAGTTATACAGTGTCTTAGAACCAAAACTGTACTCTATGGGTAAGTTTGTAATGTATGACCAGCACTTGATATGTATTTTTCATAAACCAATATCTTCTCGAGTAACTTTGTCCCACCTGTGTTTCTACCTTGAAGCAGCAAAAACATGAATATGTTTTGGTTTGAAGGGTGGAATTTGGCAGTGAAATTCAAAGTACATATGCAAAACATAGGTCTATAAGGACAATGACTCTTTTCCATCAGTTAGGTTGTTGTTTGCCATTATAAGTATTGAAACAATTCTTTCAGGACTATGGCTGGACGATAGCAACCCAGCACGGTACGTGGCAGCGTTCAACGCGCCCACGGAGGACGCTGCCAAATTCTCCCGCTATGGTTACGCTTCGTTGCAAGCTGCACAGCGGCTCAAGCAACTCACCAGGTTAGTGGCATGCATATATAAAACATCTATTACTAAATTTAGAATATCCAGATGTAGGGTAAGCATTTATAATGTCATTCAAATTAAATTTTTACTCTGTGGTTGGGTAGAGTGATAAGTATAACATACTCATATGTGTGATCATTTCATCACCATAATTGTCTCTTCATAATGTATTTTCTCTTGTTTTCTTATACACCGTTAACTGTCCTATATATGACATATTCCCTTGGGATATTTTCGCCAGTAGTTACCACACATGGCAGGCGGATTGGCAATAGTTAAGCATTGGTGATGTATTAAGAGGGACGACGCTACCTATCCCTCTACCTTTAATATCCCTTCGTCGCCCTTACGACACCCCCGTTAGTCCGTCTCTGCGATGCGTGTTTCGCTCGCTAAATGAGACGTCAGTTTCGATTAGAACTTAAAAGATAACATTGAACATTTGATGTCAACTACGGTAACTCGCATGCATACTAATAAGAGAATTAGATATTGTATTATTCTATGACGTAGTGATGTATCAGGCTGACTCGAATACTGACTAAGTGTCTACTCTGTTACTCGAATACTCGATCTACAGGATTCTGACACACGCCATTCGAATACAGGTTTCGAGTACTTGAGAATGTCGAATACTCGAATTCTAGTTGTACAGTTATATTTATTGTAATGTTTTATTTTTCTGTTTATCATTTCATTCATTTGTCAGTTTTGATTCCTTTATAAGATACATTTATAAAATATTATACATATATTCATAATTTTCATTAAAATAAGCTTCAAAAATCAATTGAAATACGTGCTGTAGTGTAGTCTGTTTCATGAAATAAGTCAACAGTTTGTTTTCTCTTCTAAGTTTAGATTAGATTTTATCATGTTTCTTTTTTTTCTTTCTTTTTTTATGTTATTTATTTTTTACCAGAGGGAGACTTTGTACAAAAGCCGAATGCTTGGGTAGTTCTGTCCCATTTGTGTTTCAACCGTGAAGCAGTTGTGTTTGCATGGTTGTGTTTCAGTTTGAAGGGTGGGATATGGCGTGAATTTACTGAGTACAGAGGAATACCACCTGAGTCCTCAGGAATGGCAACACATGGGGGGTATCATGGGCGAAAGAGGATACTCTGTTATGTCCATGGTACTGCTCATATCTATAGGCGACGGTTACCACTTTCCATCAGGTGGGCCGTCAACTTGTTTACCATTTCTAAGTTCTATAAAAATTCTAAGTTGTATAAAAAAAAATTAAGTACTCGAGTACCTGCCCGAGTCCTCAAACTCGAATCAGAATTCGATCCTTAATAAGACTAGCTCGGCACGTCACTACTATAACCTTCAAACACGATTAGTCTCTACACGCACACATTTTTAGAACCTTCAAATGTGTTTTAAGTATATTTACTCATATATACAGATGGGCAAAGCACCGGGTTTAAACCCGGTGCTTTGGTAAAAACCCAATAAACACCCATAAACTCCCATAATCACCCAAAAAAATAGGTTTTTACGTATTTTTTTGAAAATATGTAAGTAATACCAATAAATTATTTTTATAAATTGTATTGATCAATTCTACAATATTAAATAAAACGTTAACTAATAATATTTCAGGAAATTTTAAAAATCTATATATAATAAAATGAAAGTAATTAATTTTCAGTGTTTTCATGTTGCAGTTGATCAACATGTTGGCCTTTTGCTTCCCGTAGATACTTTTTTTTTTAATTTCTTCATAACACCTCGTTCGCACACATGGCCGTATATATTTAAATTCTTGAGCCACTAACAGTCCGAAATACTCATTTCTTTTATCCTCTTCTCCATAAATTAAGCATTTAGAACAGTTTGTTTCTTCTTTCAGTAAATTTTCTTTTACTTTATCCTCGTTTTTTTCTTTGTTGCGACGACGCTGGGTAAATCATCTGGACACTGGGTCTCACTATCGCCAAATATATTTGGAGATCGGCTTCGGCTACGGCTTGGCAGACATTTTTTTCTTTCTACAATTTTAAATTAAATTTATTAGAATAAATGCTTCGAACACACGCGATCTAAGTACCTTTTGTGTTTATTATACCTTACCTACCTAGGTATAAAAAGAGTACTTACGTAGATTTTCTTTTATTAACTGTTTTATACGAAGATCTTGATCTCTCAAATTAGCATCCATTTTACTTCCAGTGATTATCAACTAAATTAATAATCCACAAAGTATTAAATAACGTTTTTATGAAATATTTAGCACAAAAACAATACCCTTTAAATATCGATCGTCAGTAACTGTGGCTGACTTACCTATATTCTAGCAAGCAGGACTGCCAGATGTGAAGGGGAAATCCCCAATAAATTGTTGCATGTGACTGATGATGTGAGCATGTTCGTTTCATAATAAAAATATTGCCAGGTAACCAAAAAGTCGTATGTTTTTGTGCGAATTACGATCATAATCTTTACGATCGTACATTAAAAAATAGACAAATAATAGTATGAGTACGATTTAAATCGTATATCTGTCAACCCTGCTAGCAAGACAGCGACAAAATCACGTTGCATAACAATGTAGCCCAAGCTTATATCTTATGAAATATACGGAAGAGATATGGACTTAGAAAAAACAGAAATGTTGTTCTTTGTGGAAGTCATTGATGAAATTCTATGTATTTTAGCCCGCAAACTTTCTTCAAACAAAAACAGCGCCATCTAGTATCGAGTTCTGTAATTATCTCTTTGTTTATGGATTTCTCCTGGGCCCTGAAGTAAGACCGCCACGCATGCAATACATTATGACTGGGGATTCCCCTATTCGTCGACGCTGAATATGAGGCGACGACAATCACTGTCAAACGTGTTCACTATTACTCTGACTCTGGTAACGTGACTTCCTGGTAACGTGTTAGGTAGGAAAAGCAGTAAAAAAGTGCATATTAAGGGAGCAGATTTGAAATAATATTTATACTTAACAAGAAATAATTAAAGGTAAGTGGATTTTTGAATGATACAATTATATCATGATCACTTAACAATTTTAACTTAAAATTAGATGTATTATTACAAGCTTTTATTTAGCTTGCGTTATGTAAATAAAAGTATGTAGGTATGTTCGTATGTTGATGCAATTATCCTCAATCCTCAACCGACTGGGATAAAATTTTCCATACACGTTTATTTTGGATGATAGTGCATAGTTAGCTGAGAGTCGTCATTGGATAATAATGGTGGATAGCCTAAGATGTGTACTAGATATTTATTTTTAACATAATATGCGTAAGTACCTAATCGAATTAAAGAAGTTGCTGAGAAAAATACAGAACAATACGATAATAAACTAGCGTCTGCGTTTAATCCTCCGAGGAGATGTAATTTTACAAAGGTTTTTTGTATTTATTTTATTATTTTTTTAATAAATTTATTGTAAATAACAAGAAATAATCATTGTAAAAAAATAGGCACTCTATTGTTGAATTTTCGTCAGACCAACTAATCATCGTTCATTTTTTTAGGTTCAATGGGGAGACCTAAAGATTTACGCATATGGGAGCACTACCGTACTTTACCAAACAAGTCTGTTTCTTGCAAGCTTTGTAATAAGGTCTACAAATTCAGTAATGCTGCCAAAATGCTTCAACATCTTATCACTTGTCCAAAATCTCCAGAAACATTAAAAGACTCTATGAAACTTATAAAAGATAGCTCGTCCAAAACCAAAATGTCTGGACTGTCAGAGATAGAGACAAATGATTCTTTTATAAGCCCCTCGTCGTCTGCTAACACTACAATAAATGCTGAGTTTCAAGACACCGATGATCATATAAAAACAGAATTAGCGAGAGCTATATTTGTAACAGGGACGCCATTATCGATGGTGCAACATCCTTTATGGATACAATTTTTCGAAAAATTGCAACCAAAATTTAAAATACCTTCACGTAAAGCTTTAGCGACAAAATACTTAGATAAAATATATAGAGAAATGCGTTTTGAGTTAAATGAGGAACTAAATGCTTGTAGTTACTTACACCTTCAGTGCGATGGCTGGTCTAATTTAAGAAATGAAGGAATAATAAACTTTCTTATATCAAAATCTCAACCTGCATACGTTAAAAGTTTGAATACAGAAAGTAATCCTCACACTAGTGAATACCTTAGCCAAGAAGTTGAAAAAGTAATGAAAGTGTATGGAGCAAATAAGTTTCTTGTACTTATTGGCGATAACGCTAGAAATATACAAAAGGCATTCGAATTAACAAAACTCAAATATCCACATGTTGTTCCTCTCGGTTGCTGTGCACATATCCTTAACTTGTTGTGCCAAGATATTGTAAAGATACAAGAAGTAACTGTGTTTATTATACAAGCCATAAATATAATAAAAACTGTTAAAAGGAGTCAACGATTAAGTTCCTTGTTGATAAAATCAAGGCAGGGTGAAGATTCTACACAAACACTAAAATTGCCTTGTGCTACAAGATGGGGAAGTCATGTTACTTCGTTAAAAAGTTTGAAAGCAAATAAGATAGCTTTGCAAATATTAACAGTTAGAGAAGATGTGGTAATTTCAAGAGATATTAAAGATTTAATTCTAAGTGATGATTTCTGGACGAAGACAGGGGAATGTATAAGTATTTTGGAACCAGTCACTGAAAGCATATTTTACTTAGAGAGCGACCAGAATCGTTTGCATCGCACATACATTACATTTAGAGATGTACAAGCTAAGATACGTTTTGCATTAAATGAGATTTCGACATTGAGCGAAGAAAGCAAACAGCAGATTCTAACATCAGTATCTTCAAGATGCAATATGGCAATGAGGCCAATACATTTTGCAGCATATATTCTAGACCCCAGGACTCTAGGAGTCGAACTTACTCAAGAGGAAGAACTTAAGGGTATGGAGTTTATCTACAATTTAAGCCAACACTTAAGTTTGTCAAATGTAATGGCAGATTTGGCGTGTTATAAAGCTAAAGAAAACTTTTGGGCCAGAGGATTTGTATGGAGCTCATTAGATAGCATTGAGCCCCTAATATGGTGGAAAGGTATTTGTGGTTCCACTGAGTTAAGCAAAGTAGCGATTCGTATTCTATCAGCTCCCGGTACTTCGGCAGCCACTGAGCGTTCCTTTAGTATCCAAGGCTACATACATAATAACAAAAGAAATCGACTTACACTGAAAGAACTGAAAAAATTTCATTCATTTGTTATAACTGGAATCTTAAACATAAAGCTGAATGCGAGGACATTCAGTTTAATGAAGAAAATACCTTAGAAGCTTTCATTGAGCAAGTAAATGAACATAACAGTTTAGACGAAATAGAGCCTATCGAACCTATACAATTCATCGCTTGTAATAACTCTGAATCTGACAGTGATTGACTGTAGTTTTACATTTTACTTTCATCTCTTTCTTAATAAACTCAAAATCAAATTAAAAGTTTTTTTTTTCTGTAGGCTGCATAATAATATTGTCTATGTCCAGTATAGTGGACGTCTTGCGGCTGAGATGACGATGATGAAGTACAAAATCATAAACACCCAAAAATTTGGGTGTTTATGGGGTTTAAACCCAATAAACCCAAAACACCCGTGTTTTGTGTGTGCCAGACTTGTGTGCCACCCAGTGTGTGATTGCCCATGTGTGCTCTACTCATGTGTGTGTTAGGATCCTTGTGTGTGTGTACTTCATAAAGAAAGAGTGTGTATGGTATAGATATATATTCGATTAAATTTTTTTATGTTTGTTACCTCATAACTCTGTCAGTTGTAACGCTTTATTGGAAATTTCTTTTTTTATGTGAAAGGGTATATTTACACATTAATCCCATAGGATTTTTTTTTAATTCAGTTCAGTATATTAGTTTTTAGATAAAAATAACAAGTTTTGATACAATTAAGTTGGTTCTTTTCATAACACACAATTTGAATATGGTATTTCTATTATGTCAGTAGAACTGTATAATTTTCCCAAAGATAGGTATATGGATAATTTTTTTAATTTTTTTTTAATTTTTATACAACATAGAATGGCAAACAAGCTGACGGCTCACCTGATGGAAAGTGGTAACCGTCGCCTATAGACATGAGCAGTACCATGGACATAACAGAGTATACAGTTTCGCTCATGATACCCCACATGCGTTGCCATTCCTGAGGACTCAGGTGTTATTCCTCTGTACCCAGTAAATTCACGCCATATCCTACCTTTCAAACCGAAACACAGCCATGCAAACACTACTGCTTCACGGTTGAAACACGAATGGGACAGAGGTACCCAAGCAATCGACTTTTGTACAAAGTCTCCCTCTGGTAAAATTAACATTTAACCAAGTATTTAGAACTGAACTACATTATACAATACTTTACATATTAATTCACGCCGTTAAAAAAAGGAATTTTTCTATAGTGAAATAAATTTTATGATATTTACAAGGTAACATCGAGAACCACAAAGAATTTTGATATGTGGGCATAACAGATAAACAAATAAAGAGCATTACCATAGACATAACAGAGTATACTGTTTCGCCCATGATAGGGGGTATCATGGGCGAAACAGTATACTCTGGGTGAAAATGGTATGGTAACCCCGCCTGCGCTAACGGGATACACTGGCGGAGCACCAGTGAAGGGTGATAGATGAAAATGAAAACAGGCCAGTTAGCCCATCATGATGAATTCATCAGGAATTAACCATGATAGTTTCCAGGGGGAACCGCAGGGAGATCGACCTGATTGGGTATATTGCTAGCAATGGGATTTTCAGTCTCCATTACTAACAATCCCTTTCCCCCCGGTGTAATTAGGGTTGCCATCCGTCGGGTTTCCACGGATTTGTCCTAGTATAGAGGGCATCCAAGAAGCGTCCGAGCGAGGCGTAATTTAGGGGCATAATTCTAAATGATTATTAAAACAATTTGCAACAAGCCGTAATTTGATTTTGTTTTGTTACGTACATTTAAAATAATGATAAAAGATGACAAAATTTAATTTAAAGGTCTGAAAATAAATGAAAATGTGTTTTATGACATTATCAACTGTTTTTTATTATACTGAATATATTTGAAAAAAGCATGCATGTAATGCATGTTCGCTCAAGGACTAACTACTCAGTTTAAATGTCAAATTTTATATTAATGGCCGCTGATCTCCGCCATTTTGTAATTGCGCCTGGGAATTCGGACTACATTGGTATTTTTTCTTAGTTTAGTACACTTAGTTGAACTATATGCACCTTTCTCGCTATTTAGGAGGGGGGAAAGGGGATAAAAGAAATGTACGGTGCAGGCAATTGTTTTTTTACAATTATATCTGTAAATTATTTTCTCTCTAACTACATTAGGTTGACTGGAAGAGATCGCTTTTAAAGATCAGCCCACCCTTGCTAACAAGCCTGACCAAGACTAATCGCTGCATCCTTTGTTTAGGTGCAATAAAAATATATATATAATTATTATTCTATTATTACAAATAATAATAAAAAATATTAGTAAGGAGAATATTTTTCTATATTTTCTTGTGATAATAGTTTTATGATATAAATTTCATTTAATGTGAATTTTACATATATATATATATATATATATATATATATATATATATATATATATATATATATATATATATATATATATATATATATATATATATATATATATATATATATATATATATATATATACATATATATACTCTGTGATAATAGTTGGGGGATTTTTCCAGTAGTTGCCACGCTTGGCAGGCGGATAAGCAACCGCAGTCAGGCTCTAGAGATGTTTTAAGAGAGACACTACAGCCCATCCCTCGCTCTGCCTCGTTAAAATATTAATAAATAAATAAGATTAAAAATATAACAATATTCAATATTTTTCACCGCATAATCACATTTTCAATATTTTACATTATTAAGTCATTTCCAGTTTTTTTTTTGTCAATAACACTGAGGTGACTACGAGAGATTGTAAGTGGTTACCGTAGCCTATGAACGTATTAAGATGGCAATACCATTTGCCGACCAGACATTTTTAAGTACCCCATGCTGTACTCTCTTGGGAGAACCTTGGCATGGAGCTCATTTCTTAACCTGAGTGTTCGTGAGAGGAAACATCTAGTCAATAAAGAATGAATAAATATATATAATAAACTTCTAATGCACATTACGTTCATATCGGCAACATGGTACCTACACCATACATGCAAAACCAGTTCTTTAATGATGCACATCCTCAGGCACTGTCTTGTAATATGCAGCCTATCATTACAACTAATTTAGGGTTCCTTACGTAGTAACAAAAACCTTATTGAATTCCCATAACGATATTATCAATGCTATTAATAACGATAATATTATGAAAATGACTGTTTTTTTTTTATTACTTTTCGTCACTATTTACTGCATTTTTTTATACAATTTAGAATGGCAAACCAGCTGACGGCCCACCTGATGAAAAGTGGTAACCGTCGCCTATAGACATGAGCAGTACTGTGGACATAACAGAGTATACTGTTTCGCCCATGATACCCCCCATGTGTTGCCATCCCTGAGAACTCAGGTGTTATATTCTCAGTATTCATGCAAATGTAAAATTATCTCGTACATAATAATTTGAAAAGAGTAACTGTTAAGTCTCTCGTGGGTTCCTCTAAGCGAATTCAAAGCAACTTTATTCAAACAGACTTGTTTACAAACACTTTTATATCGCTATTTTTTTTTTCAAATCTTCTACAGCGTTCGTACAACCGATAACAACATCCCGAACTCAGAAGTGTAGTCATAAAAAATTTACGATTTAAAGGAGCTCGTAAAAGAGTCTGTTCGAATAATAATTATTTCTATTCTATTTGTTCCAATTACCAATTTTATTTCAATCCGTAAGTAAAAGCTAGTATCTGTATATCGTAGTTACAATATCTCTATATTGGTCCAAAAACAATTATATCAGATATCAGACAAAGTAGAATCCGATTAAATTTATTATACATATTCGCCCGGTATTATCGATATTTTCCGTGAACGTCGTAAGAGGCGATTAAGGAAATTTAATAGTCAAAGGATAGGCAGAACCGCATTTTTTTTTAATAGGTGATAATGGAATGGTAACCCCACCCGCGCTATCGGTATACACCGACAGGGCACCAGTGAAGGATGATAGGTAAGGATGAAGCAGGTCAGTAAGCCCATCGTGACGAATTCAACAAGAATTGTTCATGATGGTTTCCAGGGGGAACCACGTGGAGGTCGACCTAATGGGGCATATTGGTAGCAATGGGGCTATCAAATTCTATTGCTAACGATCCCTTTCCCCCCGCAGAACCGCAGTTAGGCTTTGGTGATAATTTAAAAGGGAGGAGCGTCCCTTTAAAACTATCACCAAAGCCTAATTGCGGTTGCCAACCCGCCTGCCAAGCGTGGCAACCACTAAGAAAACCGACTATTAAAATTTTATCATTTAACTTGAAAAATCTTTTAGCAACACACACATGAGTGTTATTTATGCATTTATATTTACAAATTTTGTCATGAACAATGGTATATTTCGATAAATCGAGCGATTTGCAAATTGCTAAACCGTAATACGATGATACTTTCACCAAGGAGAGATATTAAAAGTTTTGTACCTAACTAAATAAGATATCATGTAAAATAATGTAAATGTAAACAAAAAATATTCTAGAAAACAAACATATAAACTTTCTAACGTAATTTTGCTTCCAACCGTTGTCGTTTTTTCTGTTTATTTTATTTATTCATTACGTAACATCTTAAATTCACTTTCGGGAGATCTTATGTCGAATTCTAATTCCGCGTCGAACCAAAAACCGAAAGTACAGACGTATACTAAATTTATTAACATCAGGTAATGTTCATTATCAATTAGTTTCAAAAACAAAAAGGTTCTCAACTCGATTGTATTTTTTTTTTATGTTTGTCACCTCGTAACTCCGTCAGTTGTAAATCGACTTGGATTTCCATAGAAATTTTATCAAAATTGGATTTGTTACAACTGAAATATTATTTTTTATGGGACACAATCATTAATTATTAAGAGAAATATTAATATATTAGCTTGGCTCACCGCCTCCGAAACATAAAGAATTATTTGAAATGATACCTACAGCCACCTTTCATCATTGCACCGCTCGCCAACGACAGGGAACTCATCCTCACGCGCTAGAACCTAAATGGTCACGTACAGTGCTGTTTTAATGAAGTTTTCCCCCGCGAACGCTTAGGCTGTGGAATGAGCTCCATGTCGAGGTTTTTTCTAGAGACTACAGAACGGGGTTCTTCAAAAAGGGTATATTATGGTTTTTTCAGGGTCGGCGATACGCACGTGACCCCCATAGTGGGCAGATGTCCATAGGCTACAATAATCGTTCACCATCAATGAACCTTTGCTCGTTTGGTACCTTTGTAGTATAAAAACAATCCCTCAGCGTGGCCGGGATATACCCTCGTGGG